AAGTAACGTCATTCCATAATTGCGAACGCTGTATGGATATGCGAAAACGCAACAAATGCAACTTATCGTCAGGCACTCTGTTCGATAAGTTGTTCCGGAAAGGCGGTTCTCTCGTGCTATTCATTTTCAATCTAGAATCTACATTTCTCAGCAAAATCGATACCAATCTCCACAACAGAACACCCGTTATCACCGTGAAAGTATGATTATCCGCAGCTCTCTTTCTGAAAAATGAGAGACATGTACATTGTATAGTTGACGATACACGCAGCGCATGCAGAATTCTCGTAAAGTTAGCGCTCGCACGCGAAACTATTTTCCTGATGAACTTGAAGATATCCTCTCAGCGTGCGCGTTGATGTTATTTACGCTCTTCTCGTAACGGTAGAAGAACGCAAGTTTGATAGTTGAGTTTCTATGTAAACAGCGCATCTCATGTTGCGCACACTATTTGCCGTTTTGCACGCCACATGTTGAAACATCAGACTAACATCCGACCATCATGATTTCGATATCATGGTAGAGATTAAAGAATTATGCAATGCTTAAAATAAGTGCTTAATTCGGAACGGAATTGCACACAATGATGTTTAGTTCACTTTTGAGACAAAAATATATAAATATAAATTATATCACGCACTGCAATTGACACACAGATTGACTCTACTGAGAAACTTTTAAGTAGATTTTATGTCATCATATTATTATTATCGTTAATATATGATTTGCTTTTTTAATAGTAGTACAATATATTAGTTATATTGCACTTTTTTTTATCACCATTATTTGTGAAAATATCGTTCAAACAATCTCGCGAAGATATGATCGCAAACACCGAATTATTAAAAATTGATGTTATTTGTCAAAATTGTCTGGTGCATATCAGAAGATATGCGTCAGACAGTTATACTGAAACATCTCCAAAAATTGAATCATATATGTCATTTATTTATGTATGTGTGTATTTAATATTTAAAAAACCACAAGACATGTATAAAGATATGTGTATCAAAAATATTAAATAATTGCACACAATTTCGATCATTGTAATGCTCAACTTAGCATTTCTTTATTGCTAATCATCATGATGAATTGACCACTATTGTTTATCATTCGAGTAACACCGTAATAAATTTTAATACAATATTTGAATATATTTTAATCTTGAATATGTGTGCAAATTTTGTTTTTCTTACCAACTGTAATTCGATTTTTTTCAGCAAAGATTTATTGACAAACATGCCCACATTTCAGAAATTGTTTATATACAAAATGTTCGATTATTTGTGTAAACTAGAAAGCGATCATTGATGAATTGAAACTGCTTTGCGCACATGCAACCTGATTTAATCAAAATATATTGACGGGCGCGTTACGTCAGACTAATGCAATTGAAGTAAATTCATCATGACGCAACACTCTACTTACGCCGGCAACAATGTAAGATTTATTAATGTCGATAAGTGTGGAAAATTCCACAAGATTCATGAATTATCCGAGAGAATAAGATGCGGAATTGCACAGGATGACTGTTAAGACTACAATGTAATTGTTCAAGTAACATGATGATTGTACAAAATAGTCAAAACTGTACAATCAGAATTTATTGTTATTTTTAGTAAAACTCTGTAGAATAATACGCGTTACGTAAAAAAACGCATGTTTTCTGAAAATTAAAATTAGACACTTTGACAACAAAGTATCCAAAACATTGTACACATGTGAAAAAGTTTATTGATTATCGAAGTATAACAAATAATGGTTGTTTTCAAAATTGTCCTGAGATAAAAAAAAAAAATCTTATCGGAATAAAGTCGATTTTTTTAGCATCTTTGATATGTAATGTATTATCTAAAACATCTAAAACTTTCAATCTAGCTCTAACACATTCCGCAATAGTCTTCTTTAGCGACGGTCCTGGGGCCAAGTCGAACAATTACATATGTGCACTTATTGCAAGAATCGTCCCCGTCGGCGACGTCTTCGTCGTCGCGGCTAATTGGCCCAATGGTTTGCTCGGGGGGGCACGTCCAACATAGTTGCCCCGATCCCCCGGAGGGGGTCAACGAGAAATCATCAGCTCTCTCTCCTTCCCCCCCCCCTCTCTCTCTCTCTCTCTCTTTTTCTTCTTTGACATCCCTCCGGAACAATCGTCGAGAATTAATCGACGATGCGCCAGCAGACGGCAAGATAACAACGGAAATTTCTTTCTCGTCAATCGAGGCCTTGATTGAGTCGCAAATGTGCTACAGTCTCGGCTTGTAAATATGCTATGTAAAGCTACAAGTCTTTGCAAAATTAACATTATGCAGCTTATAACTTATTTTTTTATACTCTTAATTTGATCGCGCTTGCAATTTTTTCGTTACTTTTGTATAAATACTTATTAAGAGTTGAAAAGAGTATGTATATATGTATATATACACAATAAAGCACTATCTATGGCTGCGTTTTGATATTCACTGCCAGTACTGGAAGTCTATAGCACATGTGACGTGAAGATTTTTAGTACCGGCAATGAATATCGAAACGCAGCTTATATTTATAATGAAACAAATGAAAAAAGAGAGACTTAATTTACATTATAAATGATATAGCTTTTTATTGTGTTTTGATCGTATCATCGGCGAGAACTAACTGAAGCGATTTTTACGCCAATGGGCGTTTTGCTGGGTATAAGCGACATATCGGTTCGTCAGTAATCATGCGTGATAATTATGCGGTTGAACCTGTTAGATAAGCTCATGGAATTCTACTGGACACTATACACTCACGCCAGTATAACGTAACGTCAAGCGACACATGATATGTATCGCTTCGACGGCAGGTACGGTGAAATTCCTCGGGGTTGCTAGTTGTCGCGTTCAAATACATTTCGAAGGAAGCATTAAAATCAGATATATATATATACAAATAAGAAACATTATTTTGGAAAAACTATAATTTTATATTTTTACCAAAAAGAACAAAAGAGAGCGCGCCAAGTTTCTTATTTTTTTGTTTTTTTTTTTTTTTTGTTTTTACTTATCGTAAGAAAGATGGTAAAAATGCAATATTTGACGCTATTTATACTTCATGTGAATTACTAGCGTTTTACACATTTTGTGTTTTGTCACGATTTTTATTCCTATACGTGTTACTTTGTTAAAATGTCTATACTAAATATACAACTATCGCAGAATATTTAGCATAAATTGTTTTTCAATCGTTATGCTCTACTTTACGATAAGGTGCTACGAAGGATACGAATGATCTTGCGCGTTTATATCTGTGTCGAACGTGTGGTTTTAATTTTCTAGAAACTTCGAGGGGAAGTCTGTGTTCTCCTTGTGTGTTCTCCGGTATTCTTCCGCTCATCGCAAAATGCGCGATTACTCTGCGTTTTTGCCGAGTGAGCACGTTTACGTTTCGCGGAAGCGTTTTTGATAAGGGATGAACGTGACACCAGGCGAAAATCACACGTAAACGTTAATAGCGCCAAATCACGAGGATCAGCACGTAATTATCCAGCACGCGCAAATTAGTGCAAGAGTACATTTCTTTAACGTTACATATATATTTTTTACGTTATATACGTGTATATATATGTATATACACACATCTTTTTATTTCTTTATCATCTTTCGTGCGCGCGACGCGCGAGTTTTCAGCTACTGCAGTAGCGAAAAAATATAATCTTGAGAAAAACACAGAAAGTTCACATGAGACGTATAATACTCAAGATTTTCTGCTAATAACGACGTCACATGTTTATATGTGTCATTCATTTAGAGTTTTTATCTGCGTTTCTTTAAAAATGTCGACTTACTTTCATAAATGTGTAATGCAAAACTTCTTTTTTTAGACTACATCAAATATGATGACACAGTGAATTTGAACGTGACGTAAAAGTGATAAATAGGTTAAATAGATTTAATGTTATCGCACGCGATACTTTCGGCGTACAAAGCATATTTATCACATTTGGCGATCGTAAGCCAATCGCGATATCTGCTCTTTTAAAACTGTATTGTATGAATCTTATCTCTGTGTAAAAACGTAAAGAGTTTGTGTAGGTTCTTTCAATCATATGTAGGTCTTATCTTTTCTCCGAGAAACGTCCTTCTGTCGCTCTTATTAACTATAAATTATTGTCTTTTATATTTGTAAAAATTATATTTAATAATTTATTTTGTAATAGATAAATTTAAAAGTAATGTTTTTTTTGCAATAAGATCCGTATTCAACTTGAGAATTGATTTAAGCCTAATTTAAAAACCGTCACTCCCTACGTATAATCCCGTAACTCCAAAACGCAAATTTTAGAGGAGAGCAGTTTAAAAGTATAAAGCTTCATATGTTTCCCTATAGCTAAGGATCTTTCGGTTTCAAATTTGTACCTTACTTATGAATATTTTTTTTTAATATTTGGTGACCATAAAGAACATGACTTTCTAAGTGTCACTATGCAATAAACTGAAAATCCCATATGTGACACTTATGTGATTATACGTAGGGAGTGACGAAACATTATTCTGCGATTGTTTTAAACCAATGGCACAAAACTGATTTTCAAATTGAATCACGACTGTAAATACGGACCAAAGACAATAACTTTATCGGTTTTTATAAAAAAGAAGATACTCTATATCGCAATCTGATCAACTTTTAATCACTTTTAAGTATTAATATACTTAAAAGCTGTATCTTTATTAATTATAATTTTCATATAATATTTTAATACTTTCAAATGTCATTTGTTCAAGAATCAACTTCGAGAGTTCAATAGAACCCGTTGTTTAATATTGATTTTTAATATTGATTTCTCACAATTCAATTACTGCGGTGTGATTAAGTAAATTTTGCCCTTATTAGATATTGATTACAAGAAAAAGAAAGAGATAAAATTAATCTTTAATTCACTTGTTACATGAAAAACTATTTTTTGTAACTAATTACTTCTCTTTATTTATCACACCTGTGTCTGGGATATTTTGAACACTGTTCTATCATTTTTTCAGATGCCTGCCTAAGATGCCAAGCGGAGAGCAAAAAGGAAGTCTACGGTCGGCAAGACTGCGTAGTTGTTTGGGGCGAGTGCAATCATTCGTTCCACTATTGTTGCATGTCGCTTTGGGTGAAGCAGAACAACCGCTGTCCACTATGTCAACAGGAATGGTCCATTCAACGAATGGGAAAATAATCCTCGCATGAGGCCGTTTTCTCATTTTCTATCTATCGATTATTCTGGGATTATGTTTTGTCGGGATGTTGAATACAACTTTCTTTTATATTCAGATCTTTTTTTGAAGAACAATCAAGTCTTAAACTTAAGTTACCGTATATACTAAGGCAATGCTATCATGATGGCCGTGTAATAGATTCTTTCGTTGAAATTGTTATATGTATTGTCAGAAAAAAACTTTGTAAAGAAATTACTTTTTTTTTTATTTCTTTCTTTTTTGTGATTTATGCAGTTTATCGCTATTACGTATAATTGCTACTGTTGGATAATAATAATAATTGAATTTTAAATTGTACACATTTTTTGTATCTTATATATTAATGATCAACAAATAAAAAACAGAATGCAAACGAGACAATAATTTTGAACTTGTTAATTGCAAAATACATGTAAATTTATCTCCAATATGTGACGATACAAATCAAAGAATTTTTTACAGAAAGATATTGAGATATGAATTGCAAATCGTTGCACGGATTCGCGATTTCGATGTCCAAAATACGTGTTTAATGGGTACTGTGTTGTTAAATATTATACGCGTCGGAGACGTCCTTATCTTGTGTAGACGTGAAAAATGTAAACAGTATTATAATTATGACCGACGTGTGTGCGCTGACGCACACAGCGTCTCTCAGATTAAATTTAGATTGAATATAAGGTTCTATGAAAATCGACATTTTTCAATATTCATCAATATCTTTTAACGATTTTAATCGCTTTTTAATAAATATTAGTATTAAAAGACAAAAAATTAATGAAATATAAACAATTAGATAAAAATTCTTTTAGTATAATCAGTTTTATGATTATAGTGGCGCTAGTGTTTTCAGGTTTCAGGAAAATATTTGGAAACACACACACACACATTATGTATGTATTACATTAGATATTTGCTATGCCGCTCGCATAATTGTTCCGAAACATTTAAGACGTTGATGATATGCACGCGCTACATGTGCTTTATACAATTAAATTGAAATTCTGTCAAATCATTACGTGTAAAAGTATCGTATCAAATGTAAAATATCGATGTAACAATTGCGTTCTTCACTTAAGAAGATATGTCTTTTGTTAACTTTTTTTTTATTGCAAAATGAAGACAGTTCTGTTTTCTCCCGTAACATTACTTAAAAAATTTACGAGCAAGATTGACTTATTGAAACAACTGTTATCGCTATAAATTACAAAACTGTTTGAAAGTGATTAAATTCACAAATCTTATGAACTGTAAACTTGTGTCTGCGGCACTGGTAACCGCAAGTACATAAAACAAACATTAAATCTTTATTATCAGATAGCGTGACAATATAATATCTTATTGTTTACTTTGTTGTTTATTAGACAATAAAAATATCTAATGATTTGAGCGACAAATTGCGATTGACGTTTCTTGACAAAAAGCGACGGGGTCAACAAGCTAGAAACTTCTATTTCGATTTTGTTTTTCATTCCAGTTCTGAATGTAAAATCGCTTCTTCGGCTTGTAATTGCTTGCGCAAATTTTAGAATAGCTTCTGTGGCCAATCACGCTATAAAAATCATTTCGCTATTTCGGAAATAATCAAAGCAAAGCAATAGTTAGCAAAGTATAAGAATATGCTAAGCAATCTATTCTCTTAATTTGCGCGTTTTAACAGATGTGCGAAAAACGATACGCAAGATACGTTATATCTTAGAGAGATAATCGTATCATAGAAACACAATTTTAACATCTGAAAATTAAACGCCATCTTCTTTATCGCGCAATATTATCCGAAATCGCGAAATTCTTCGTCGTTCTGAATTCCGCAAATGCTGAGGCAATTATATGAAGAAAAAACGTATGGATCGTACGACGCGCGTCCACGTAACACGATGACGGTGACGCCGCGTTACCTACCCGTTCTCGTGAAGTTTCACTTTTATCACGAAGTCGAGATTCCGCAACGGGTGCCAGAATCTGAGCGTAACATCCCTCCTCCTTTCGGGAAAACATCCTAACCAATCCCCCCTTTCCCCCATCTCTTCGACTAACCGGTAAAGGAAACGGTATAATAAGTATAATGATGACGAACGCGAGGTCGTCTATACGTATAGGCGCCGTTTCGCATTTCTACAACGTGATTGGTCGAGCCTCTGGACGAGCCTCCACACGTGACGTGGAGCGAGACCGAGAAACGAGCGAGCGAACAGCGAGAGTGGGCGAATAGTGATGTTGACCTTCGTACAATACTTTGGCGAATAGCGTTACGTGTGTGGCATGACGCGCACGAATGCGCGATTAGTGGCGCGACACATCGATAAGTTTTATGATGATGAATCAACTTTTTTACGCTTGTTCACTCGGAGGTGTGTCTAAGTAAAGTCAAAAATGTGTATTCAAAGACAAACAATTATATTCAAAGTTTAGTTAGTTTTAGAAAGAATAACGTTTTCTCAAGTTTGAACATATTAATTTTCTTTTTTTAATTATAGTTTTAGAAAAATAAAACATTTTTTGAGCTGAGTATATATCAGTCTTTATACATATAAATATGTACATATATTGTATGTATACATATATTAATGTACATATACATATACATATACATATATTATATACATATATTAATGTACATATATTTATATAAATATAAATATATGTACATGTATATGTAATCCTAAATGGTTAAAAAAATATCGGCCTATGATCAGAGAGTGTACGTAAAGTGAATCACAAAAATATTCGGACACTAAAGTATGTTTACCTTTGACGGTCTGTATCTTTGTTAATTATGGAAGAAATTAAATGAAATTTTTGTTTCTTTCGATAGAGTATGTATTCTATTTTATAAAGATGTATAATTTATTTAACTAACTTGACGTATAATAAAATAATAGTATAAATTAAATGAGATCACAGCCTTTTTTCGAGTTACAAAAATATTCGGACAGATACTTCTTTTCTCAATGTATTTACAAATAATGATGGATTATTGTTCTAGAAATGTTTGACTCGAAACGTAGCCTTTGTTTACAAATATGTCGCGTCAAGTTTAGTACCAAACAGTCAGTGTTACTGTACAGTTCAGTCTTTATACTGTCATTTATCGTGAAGATGTTTCGGAAAAGTAAAAACGTCTCATTTAATCTCCGCCAACTAGAAATTTTTCATCGGAAAAAGAGAAAATCGTATCGCCAAATCGCTGCAATGCTTAATTTAAAAAAAAAAGCACTGTGGCAAATATAGTTAACAGATACAAAAACGAGAACAGGATTCAATCACTTCCACAAAGTGGACGACCAAAAATAATAAATAAAAGAGAAAAGCGAAAGATTATTAGGAAAGTGAAAGAAAATCCACGATTGAGTGCTTCCACATTAGCAGCAGAACTACGAGAAGAAAGTGGGAAAAATGTAAAGCACACAAACAGTTCGGCGATTGCTTAAAGAAGATGGTTACAATGGAAGAGTGGCTATTAAGAAACCGTACATCAGCGAAACAAATAGAAAAAAAACGTTTAACTTTTGCAAAAAATATGATTTCCAGAGAAGAGTCATGGTGGAGCGATGTTATTTTCGTTGATGAGTCGAAATTCAACATATCTGGATCAGATAGACGACATGTGGCGTAAGCTGAATACAGCTCTAAATCCAAACAATTTGCGAGCTACTGTCAAGCATGGTGGAGGAAACGTTATGGTCTGGGGTTGCATATCGAGTAGAGGAGTAGGAAAACTTGTTTTTATTGAGGATACTATGTATAAGAATAAATATTTACATATTTTACAAGAAACTTTAATACCGAGTGCAGTCAGTATGGGTATTGAAAGAAGCTTCAAATTTTACCAAGATAATGATTCGAAACATACAGCTCGGATTATACAAGAGTACCTACTGTATAATTGTCCAAAAGTCTTACATCCGTCTCCTCAGTCCCCAGATCTTAACCCTATAGAGAATTTATGGAACGATTTAAACAAAAGAATAAGAACAACACCTATAAAGAGTAAGGAAGAATTGAAAATGAGATTACTAGACAAGAGAGAGAGAGTGGGAGAAAACAAATACAGAATATCTTAAAAAAATTATATTTAGTATACCAAAACGTTTGAAACATGTGATAAAACATAAAGGTTACTACTACGTATTATGCTACTAAGTATTAAAAAGCAAAGTTTAGTTTCTAAAGTATTAATTATGTATAATGTCCGAATATTTTTGTAACTCAAAACTTGACTGTGATTTCACTTAATTTATAACATTATTTTATTACATTAAGTTAGTTAAATAAGTTGTATATCTTTATAAAGTAGAATAAATACTCTATTAAAAGAAATAAGTTTCATTCCTTTGATAATTAGCAAAGATACAGACCATCAAAGTTAAACATATCTTAGTGTCCGAATATTTTTGTGATTCACTGTACATATTACTGGGAAAGAGAAACCTATAATTCAAATTTTTGGTAATGACATTGAAATTTTTTCAGATGAATTTCCTCCAAAAAGTAATAAAAAAGTGTATATATTGTTGATCGTCGAATAAAATTACTTCCACTTAATACTACTCCTGCTTAATAAATGTTGAATTATATTTTTCATGATAAATTTTTGATAAAAATAAAGTTATAAGTTTGTGTGATCAAGAAACTTAGCTCAATTTTACATTAGCGCGTAAACTGTTACATTCATATTGAAACCATTTTCTACATTAATATTTGAAGATAAACTTAAGACGATCTGGAATATAAGATCCGTCTAGGTATGTCGGTCTAGAAGGTTTTCTGCAAAAAAATTTCTTCCTGAACACAAACCTATACTTATTTTTACTAAATACATACATATATATATATATGTATATATATGTAGGTTATAATTTAATTAGTACCTACAAAACATGTTGAATGCGATCAGTGCCAGAGATTAGCGATGCGATATTTCGTTTTCCAATGTGAGCTGACTATAAGATTGCGATTTCCGCAATATACTGCAACGTGGCGTGTGACTGCAAAGGTCGGACGTGCGATTATGCTACTTATATATTTTTGTTTTAGTATTACCGTGTTCTTTATATATATACATACATGTAAAGAATATATATATAAATATATATATAAAGAATATATATATATATATATATATATATATATGTATATAAAGAATATATATGCACCGCGCAGCAAAGAGAATAGATTGTACACACAAATGTGTGTTTTATTCTTATGTAAAACCTTTCACATGTTATTCCCATCCGTTATTAATGTTTTGTTCTTCCTAATTCAAGGTCGGCTGCTTATGCAAGCTTGGTGGAATATAGTTCGATCAAAAATCTTCAACTTAAGTCGATCTTTTGCCGCTAACGTGACAAAAGCGACATTTTGTAATAACATACAATACTTTAACTGTGATTCACGCGATCAGGTCAAGTGTAACACCGCACGTCTTTGTGTTCGTGGACTTTGATCTTTCACCCGAGTTTTAATAACTTTTTAAGTGTTTTTGTTTGCGTGTCGCAGTCGTTGTCAGTTGAATATTCTTTGCGCAAAAATCAGCGTCGTCAAAGTATGATTTGCATTTTGGCGTGCGAACGTCTCGTATTGGAAACACGCCGCTGTGTTAATTTTATTATATATTAATTTGCGCAATACAAGATTGCGAACAACAACGCAGAACCGCAAAAGACACCGATAAAAGACGGTGAACTAAAAG